ATATTAATAAAGATAAATTTATTTTTTGTATTCATATTTAGAATATTTAATGTAAATATATAAAATAATAAATTTTATTAATATTAATAATCAAATTTTATTTAAATTATTGTTTATCTGTAACCAATTTGACAAATAAGTTATATTATACTATTACTATTATTATTACTATTTATTATTATTATTATTATTATTACTATTACTATTATTATTTACTATTATTAATTTTAAAAAATTGATATGAAATTTATTATCAATTTTACAAAAAAAAAATTGTATTTTAATATATTTGATTTACAAATATATAAATAATAAACTGTTAAAAAAAATAAATAAAAGTTTCTTGTATATAAACTATTAATATTAAAAAGAAATAAAAACCAAAGAAATAGTTTTTAATGCTTTTCTGAAATTCTTTCCATTTTATTGCCTTTTTCATGGCACGCTTTACATTCATTGTAAATTAAGTTACATAACTCTTGTGAACTAGATTTACACACTTTATGTAAATTTTACAATTATCGTAATTATTTACATATTAAATCCTAATAAGGCGGCGGTTGATGTTGATAATGTTGCGGTGGTTGACTCAAGTGCCGCTGTAAATGCGTTACTAATTGCTGAGTTGGTTGTTGTCCAGCAGCATTACCTTGTTGTTGCTGTTGTTGTGCTTGTTGTTGTTGTTGTGCTTGTTGTTGTTGTTGCATTGCAAGCATTTGTTGCCTCATACGTTGTTGGTTTATCGCCTGTTGCTAATAATTCAAATAATTAAAACTAATTATTTAAAATTAAATAAAAGTTAAAGTTTAAAACTAATTATTAAAATTTAATCTAAATTTAATCATGTATGTATATGTTGTATTTATATTTTTTTATATGTATAAATAGACTTGCAATGCAATAAAATTATGATGATAATTTTGATTTTTTTAATTATAGAAAAATTCATTACTTGCTTTTTTTTAGTTGTTTAAATGATATTGAACAATTGAAATAAATCAAAATTTTCAATATAATACAATTCTATATTAAGATATTTCAAATATGTGATACGAAAAAAATAATATAATAAATTTACCTGTTGAAATTGTTGATTTTGTTGTAAACCAACATTACTAGTGCCTACACCTGTTACTCCAACAGTACCAGGTTTCCCACTAGTTTGTCGGTATGGTGGTGCTGGTTGATTTTGAACTCCACCTCCCATTGGACCCATTGTATTCATTGTGACATTTGGAGCCTAAAAAATATAAATAATAATTTTTAATTTTAAAATTAAAAAAAAAATTTCGAAATGTTTTGTCAAAAATATTTTTATTAAAATTATATCTACTTTTTTCTTAAATGGTACCTGAAGGTACGGTGGTCTTGTAGCTCCAGGTTGCATACGTTGTTGTGGTATATATTCTTGTCCTCTTTGAGGTCCCATTATTTGTTGTTGATTAGTAAACATCATATTCTGTTGTTGATTTATTAAACCTTGTTGCTGCTGCTGCTGCTGCAATAGTTGTTGTTGCTGTTGTGCCTGTTGAGGTGCTTGTTGCTGTTGTTGTTGTTGCTGTTGTTGCTGTGGTATCATTTGTTGACCTCCATATCCTGCATAATTTTGATTCATTCCTGCTAAAAAATATTATTTATAATATATGTTATATTATAACTATATACTCTAAGATATTTATTACATAAAATAAATCATTATATTACCTTGTTGCATTCCAGTATACATTCCTTGTTGTTGTGGCTGCTGTTGCTGTTGTTGTGAAGCAAACATTCCTTGTTGTGGATTAATATTAGGAGCTCCATGTTGAGCTCTTAATTGTTGCCTAATGAATTGTTGTCTCTGCATTCCTTGAAACGCTCCTGGTCCACCAACAGGTGTAGCATTTGGTTGTTGTTGAGAGTTTATTAATTGATTGGACGGTAATCGTAAACGTAACATGTGAGAAAGTGCTTGTTTTGATTGATTGTTCATGCCTGGCCTATCATATCTTGGTCCAACTGGAGTTGGTGGTAATTGTTGACCATATCCGTATTGTTGAGCTGGTGTATGAGTTTGTTGATTAGTATACCAAGGTTGTTGATGTTGTGGTGGTTGATTAGTAAACATTCCAGGTTGTTGACTGACAGGTACTTGTTGATTTCCAAATGCCATTTGTTGTAATTGATTTGGTGGTTGCTTTATATAAAATATAAAAAATATTAAAAACTGAAAAAATATTAAAAATTGAAATAAAAAATCAAAAAAAAACCTGAATTTGCTGTGAAACAGGTGTGGTAGGTGTAGCAGCTCCTTTATTTCTTCTATGTCTTCGAGTCTTCATAGCTTTTCCTTTGCTATTGGTAATAGTATTACCAATTCCACTACCACCAACACTGCCTGCTACTCTTCCAGGGGAATCAATACTCATAGGTGTATCAGCTTTACCAGGTTCTGATTCTTTTTTATCTGGTTCTAAATCTTCTGGAGGTAATGGTGGTGGATCCAAATAATGACTAGGAGGTCTAATTTGACTATGTGTATGATATCGTAAAAGTTTATGAGCATTTTGGTATGTAAGAGGTTTACGTTCTAATTTAACTGCTCTAAACCAAGCCCAGGAAATAGGTGCTGGATTTTTATGGCCCTCTAACACTTCCCATGCAGATACTCTTTGAGAATCACATACTTGCAAACCCTAATTTAACATATGTTTGTATCATTTTCTTTTTTTTTTATTAAAATACTATACAAAATATTTTATTTTATGTTTTTTTACCTGTTTCTTATCAATACTATCAAAACCAGCTATTTTATTGCCTTTTGTGTCTGTTAAACATCCAACTGGCTCACATGTAATAACTTCCATTGTTAATTTTGGCAGTGGTAACAATTGTCTGACATATCGAATACTGGAAGAATTTCTATCACCAAGTTCCTTTTTTAACTTTTTCATCAAATTTTGATAATGTTTCTTATTTTCATCTTTTTCAGATTGTGAGTCAGAAACTAGTGTAGAATGTATTAAGGTTGCTAACATATCTATGACAGTGGTAAATAATTCGGAATTATTATTTAAATCTATAACACCATAGCTAACCAACTGAACCAATAAAATAGCCCAGTCTGTGGTAGCAGTAGTATTTCTTTGTATAGTATCAAAAACTCCACCGACGAGACTAAATCTTAATTGCAATGCATCTTGCAATACCTCTCTCGTTTTAGGATCTTCGGTAGCGAAATTTTTTTCTTCTTTACTAATATTTAAGAACTGCGATAATTGTGAATGTAGAGACATCAGAAGACCTTCTCTTTGATCATCTTGACCTTTAAGGCAAGTCAGTACTAATGAAAGGAAAGGTTGATGATTAAATAGAGATGGTGATTTTGATCTATTTCTCTCACGACCTGTTGCTGTCTTTGACCAATTTCCAGATTCTAATACTTGACCCGCTACTTTTAAAACTCGACCTTGTACCGCACTTGGTAATTTTGAAACGAGTGGCGCAACTAACCATATTGAACCAGATCGTTTGTCTGATTTACTAGTCATAGTATTCAATTGAAACACATCAATTGCAGCTTTAGCAACAGTATCTAACCATTGTGAAAGTTCGTTTGATCCTGGAGGAAATTGTTTATACATGAGTTGCAAATCAAGCCATGACATTCTTAAACTCCATTGTTCCAGATTTTCTAATATATTTGTTATGTGAGTCTTTTGATCAATAAATGCATCTGTAGAAGTTTCAGGATAACAAATCATATGAAGTAATCGTTGAGCTTGACGAGGTGTCAGCATATTATCAAGCAACATATCAGGATGACAAAGTTCTTCTGGATTTTGCAAACATCTTTCTAGTACCCATTCTTGACTGCAAATTTGTCTAAGAACATGTTGTGCAAAGTCTGACAATCCTTTTACATTTTCTGTAGTCATTCCAGCACTACTACTAGATGAAGATATTGCTAAATCAAGTCCCAAATCATCGCCACCTCCTAAAATATCACTGGTACCTAAGATATGGCTAATAGATAATTCACTTGGTCCACCTGTAGTCACACCAACACCAACACCAACACTTGCTGGTCCTCCTGCTTTATTTGAATGATTCATTGGTACATCTGGTTTCTTTGGTGGTTGTTTACCAGCAGTTGCATCAGCGACAACTAAGATAGCTTTAAGTACAGCTAAAACTGGACCAACTCTAATATTATTGTGAGCAGCTGCCAGCAAATGTCTGTCACAACTTAATTTTATACTGTAACCTCTGGAATTTCCATTTGGTAAAGGATGAGGGCTTGTGCTCACAGAATATAGTGCTGGTTGAGGACATTCAACTGTTTTAAAAAGTCGTAGAAGTAAATGACATGTTAAACGTGCTCCAGCTTCAGCTTCCATATCTGCATCTCCACGACCCTCATTACAAGCTTTAACTAATGATGGCAATGCTATATGTACAACAAAATCTTCTAAAGAGAAACAATGTCTTGCTGTAAACAGAAAAAAATTATTTTAATTATTTATTCTTAAATTATCTATCATAATTATTAATAAAAATTTTAATAAATTTAATACTTCATCAAAGATGTCTATTATAATAATATATTAATTTTTATTAATTTGTTATTATTTTACATATTTAATTTAATGCAAAATTGTTGAATATTTAAAAACTTTTTTTATAAACAAAGACAACAAAATTAATAAATATAAATTTAATATAAAATTTACCAATTAAAATTGATGTGAATACAGCCAAAGAATTATGTATACTTAAATCTTGTACATCAACTTGATTTAATACATCAATATAAAAAGTAGAACTATTTGAAGAGCAACAAAGTGCCATAAGAACTCCAAGCCATTCAGCGTTAAGTGCATTACAGCAAGCTGTTAATTCTGCGCATGTTATTGCGATGTCGTTTAATTTATCGTTATCCGTTTCGCTACAAACTGCAACTATTGCATTGCAAACAAAACTATAGCGATTTGCCGGTGTCTCATTCAATTGTCTAGCCCATTGTGGTTCGATTTTCCCTCCTCGTCTTGGACTAGTAAAAACGTCTACCATGAATTGCGAATTATACACATGACTCGATGTTGTCGGTTGTAATGTACTATAAAGAGCTGTTCGGATTTTAGGATAAGCATTACTAAATGCTTCCACTCCATGTGGTTTCGTTTTCAGCAAAGAACAAGATGAATATAAATCGTAAAGATGTGCCAATACGCATCGTTCAGCGGAACTACAATCGCTAGGATTAGATACATGTTTTACCACTTTACAAAGTAAATCAAATACTGCCGTCGTTTGTTCTGGAGACACTGAAATAATTAAGCTAAATATATAATGTCTATTACTTAAATATTTCACAAAATATATATATATATATAATAAATTTTATTTATAATATTAATACTTACATAACAAACAACAATGATATCTTCTTAATACCCCTACAACATACAAACTTAAACTTGTAGTATAACTTCTAACGAGCTGACTATTTCTAACTCCTAACTGTGTTTCAACTTCTGGAAGTTCCTTTAATATTTGTATGCAAACATCTATTAAACCATATATATTTAATGCTAATTCCATTAAATCGAATAAAAATGCTACATGTTCTTGAACCGGTAAATAAGACGATCCAGCCAGCGCAAAAGTATTCAACATTTCTATAACTTGTGTTGCACATTGCCATGTTACTACATGTTGATCAAAATAACTCAAATTTTGAAACTTTAATGTAATTGCCTCGAAGTTAAATTCATTCCGAGAATGTTTTTTTACTTTTCCACCTTCTGCAACATCAATACTAAATTTTTTTCCAAATAATTTGCATACTTCTTTAGTCATTCTTTTAACAATATGTCTAGCATCATCTCTAACGCGACCTACTCCATAAAGTAATACATGTCGTTGATTACAATCATGTTGACTACATGTTTCATCCTAAAAATAAAATATAAAATTAGTAATATTATATTCGTTACTAAAAAATCATTAATTCATATTTAGTTAGATGTATATATGTATAAAACATTTGATAATTTATATATTAACATTTTAATTTATATATATATATATATAAAATTGTTTATAATATTTTAAATATTAATTACTAATATAAATTACTTGTGGTAATGGAAAATGTGTTGTATATAACAAATGTCTACTATGACTTGATGGTATTTTTGAATCTAATCCTTCTTGAGCTCCATGTCCAGCTAGTGCATCTTCTTTAGGACTATCTGGAGCATCCATGCTATTTTGTTGATCTTCTTTAATATGCTGTAATAATTTATCCAAATCATCGTCGATTTTACTATCATCATAATCCATTGTTCGTCCATGATCTGATACTTCCAATTTTGTTTCTATTCCAGGAAATAAGCATTCTTCATCAATTGGTTCTCGATTATTTGGAGTTCCAGGTTTGCTAGCTGCAGGACCTAAATAAAATAATTAAATTTGTATTTTTGATAATAAATTATAAAAAAAGTTAAAAAAAAATAAGAATATAAAAAAATAGTTATATTAAATTTAATATGAAAGTATAATTATTAAAATAATTTAACGTGAATTATGTAAAAGTATTTTTATTAAATATTTATAACAAAAAAATTTATAAAACAAATATAAAATTGCACAAAAATAATATTATATTTTAATACAAATTTTAAAATATTATGAAACCTAAAATCAATTTTTTATAATTTTTTAGCATTTTAATTCTTAGAATTTGCAACAAAAAAATTTGTAGAACGTTTGTCGAAAATAATTAAAAATAAGATGAAAATCGGATAATTCAAATTTTCCTTGTAACTATTCTTACGTATACTTGTTTATGTTTATATGTTTATGTTAATATTGTTTAATGTTTAAAACAGATTTTTTTTAAAGCAATAATTAAATATATATACTACCTTGTATGAGATCTCCTCTTGAAATAAGTGTACACATATATGCATCATGTGAAAATACATCATGTCTAATTAATTCTGAAAATAAGTGAACCAAATTTGTAAACTGAACTTTTGATTGAGTTGTTGTATTATCTAGTACCGGGGCATCCATATCCAAAAATTTCATAAGTAATGACTGAAAAATCGGAAGCACGGGTGGATTTCCATTACTACAAATACTATCTTTATCATCATTATCATTTGTTTCTCCAGTAACTTCACTTTGTCGTTTTTCCAATAATTTTGCAACTGCCATTGCTCTATGTTCTCCCCATCTTTCTGCACTTACTGCCCATTCACATAAAATTTCAACTACAGCAGAATCTTGTTGCGGATTATATTCTGTTTTTGTATCTCGTTCATTGGCATTATCTTTCAATGGTGATGTAAATATTTTAGCATATAATGTATCTAAAGAATTGCTAGAATCCATCCTATCAAAACTATGCCGATCTAGAGCATCTAATGCAGCTAATACTTTAGTAGTTGTTATTCCAGCACTGCTTTGTTGCCATTTGTCACATGACCATTTTCCTTCAGCAGCTTGAGATCTTGCTCGAATATTTTTTTGAGCAATTTTCAATTGCTTTATTATTGGATTAGTTGCACTTACAGGTGGACATGGTAAAGCTGTAGGAGGACACTGTAGATAATCTAAAGGAGAACCATTTAATACAGATGGTGCTTTTCCTTCACCAACACTATTCCACACTAATGCAGTGGGACATTCTAATGTAATAACCTGGCAAGAAGTTTATTACCATTAATTATAAATAAATTATTTATTTATAATTATAAATAAATTATTTATTTATAATTATAAATAAATTACTATATTGTTATTATATTAAATGTAATTTTATTTCTATTCTACCATATTTATTTTACAAAAACTATAAATAACACACAACTTTATTTTATCAACATTTGATAAAATAAAAATATTTCTTTTACATTATTTGAGTAAAAAATAGAAAAAATTAAAGAATTTAAATCTATTTTTCTTTAATTGGATATTCTATTATATATTATATTTAATTGAATATTCTATTATAAATTTTTCACTTTCAGATTTGAAAATATTTATTTTTCTTTGATTATAATATATTAAATATATTATAATATATATAATATAATATAATATATTAATATATATTATATTTTCTTGTATTATTATATTTTATAAATCTTACCTGTATTATTGTTGATAAACTATAGATTACATCTCTGTGATGTGGACAAGACAAATAATCATTAAAAGCAATAGTTAATGGATTTTGAATTTGATTAGCAGTATCTTTTCCAATATTTACATCATTTTTATTTATGGTTGGACTTTGTGGATTAGCATTAGTTTCCACATTATTACACATATGTGCCAATTTACGACAACACAGATATGCTAAACGTCTGGCTAATAATTCAGATTGTACAAATTCTTCTAAATATTGTAATGCTAATGGTAACAGAAGTTTCAAAATTCCATTTTCCGAAGGAGAAGATTTAATTTTGTCCAATAATTCTAAAATCCATTGTAATAATTCTTGTCTATCTAATAATCCCTCTTCAAACATATATTTTGCCAATTGTACACAATAATGCCATTGTTTTAGAGCTATTTTATGCTCCTCATTTATGGCATTTCCAGTTATTATTTGATTATTTGAATTTGGTGTAGCTGGTTGATTATTGGCAACTCCATTGTTACTATTAGTATTATTACTGACATTATTGTTACTATTATTATTACTACTATTATTTCCAGTATTATTCCCATTACAAGAATTGCTTGTAATACCATTAGTATTAATATTATTTGTTATATGATTATTTATGTGATAATATTCTTGTAATTTTGAAAGTTGATCTTTCAAGAACTTAATAAGTGTTCCTGTCCATTCTAAATAAACAAACAAAAAAAAGTTACAAATAATAAATAACAGTTCATTTATTTATTTTAAAGAAATATATAATAAACACAAATAATTAATCATAAATTATTATTACATATAAATAAATATATAATATATATAATATATGTAATATATAAAATATATATTATTTAAAATATTAATAAATTATTAAAATATATATGTATACATGCACATATATTTATGTATTTTTAATATTTATAATAAAAATATAAATAAATTATCGCATGAAAGCAAATGTAAATTAAAAATTATAATTTTAAATATGTATCAAATATATTTATTTTTTAATCTATATAATTTTTGATACATAAATATGTTATTTCACATATATATAAATGTATTAAATAAATATATATAAATGTATTAAAAAAATTTATAGAATTCTATTTTTTTTGCTAGATTTTAATGGAATTAATTTATATATAATTTAATAGACTTTACCTGTAGTTGGATCAGGTAATTGTCTTTTTTTTATTTTAGCTTCTGATACTGCTACTGTATAAGCAGAGCTAAGTTTAATGAACCAAGCTGCTCGTAACATTGGTACTTGATATTCGCAAAGCATCATGAATATTTCTTCTTTCTTGTTGAAATTAGGTGCTTTTTTAGCAAGAGCTATCAATGGTTTACATCCAGACAAATCCTTGAACCATGCTTCAATGCCATTTTTCGTTCTGGCAGTTACTGGCCAGAAATTGTCCTTTGGATTAATCTGTTGTCGTTTTCTTGCTGTATCTGGCATTGTAGAAAGTTCTTCTTTTTTTGCCAAAATTGCATTAAAATATGCTCCTACTTTGGCAGCAGTGACATTACAATGTCTTGCGGTACCAAATTCCTCTGACATCTGAGGCATTGTAGCAAAACCAAGTTTAACATTTGTAGATGTAAGTTCATCTTCTTTTTGTTTAGGTTCTTGAGGATAAACGTCAGGCGGCCCTAATTTTGGCCGTTTTAGTGGCCTCTTTTCATACAATATTCCCATCATGGTATAAAGAAATTATCAAAATTGATAGATGTCTTTTGACATTGTTTAAGCATACATTAAGCATAGAGAATTTAATGAAATGATTTCAAAATTATGACTTCATATAAAAGGCTACGTACGATATATAACCTTTGTTAATGACATATTTACAATTATCCAATATTGTACAAGTAAAGACACAATCATTACACATATAGAGATTTCTAGATGGCGCGTCGTTATTAAAATTATGAATCTGAAGTATATAAGTATTTAAATATAGAATCTGATTGGTTTTTCTGATAGACTAAAAAAGACACATCTATTGGTTGAATAGCCAATAATTTCTACAAACAATACAGTATATATAACAGTATAATAACTTCATATGATGGTAAGCCAGCGAATTTTTTTTATTTTTATTGTGAACGCCAACTATGTATTTCTCAAAAATTTATATTTCAAATAATATATTTTGATGAATATTTCATACATTTATAAAATCTAATATGATTATAATATGATATGTCTCTTAATATTAATTAAAAATAATTGAAAAATTAAAATAAAAAGATATATTTGTGATAAAAACAAGATATTATAATTAAACTTTTAAGAATAAAAATATTATGTATAATATTTATTTATTAGAAAATAATTAAATATATTACTATTTTTAGTTATTATTTTAAAATTTCTAGTAATACCAACTTAACAATATTATGAAAAATCTCTAGATTTAAATCCAAAATTAATATTAAATTCTGCTCAAATAATAATAAAAACTACGTAATTTAGGTTATTTCATAAATATTATAAATTTAGGTTATATTATAGGTAACGTCAATTAAATCACTTTAATATATTTTATTTTTTCTAATATTATAAAATCTTTTTTAATTGTTTTCTTTTTTTTTTTTATTTAAACGAACGTAAAATATATATTATTATTTTTTGTTAAGTTTTGTTTCAAGTAGTAATTGTAATCAGTTATTTAGAATAAAACTTAAAGTTGCGCGATTAAGGTGGTACGTACGAAGTGAAGTGCCTAAAACTTAATAATTGCTTGTAAATACAGTATCTGAATATTATTTATTTCTATAACTACTTTAAATTTCTTTTTAATGTTATACTAATTTTTTAAAAGTCAAAATTTTCTTAAAAATCCAATTCTAAAATTAATTGTATATATAATTCTATTTTATCAAATTTATCTATATTAAATTTATTAAATTGTTAGTCTTAAGTTAAAGTAAAAATAAAATGTGTAGTAAATTAAATAATAATGTGTATTTTCAAACAAACATTAATATGTATATATAATGAAATGTGTTTAACATAATTATAATAGAATTAATAATAATTTTGTTATTTTTTCAATTGCAAGATAAATCAAATTTGGTGATGGATTTTATATATTGTAATATGACCCAACTTTTTTATTAAATTATAATAGAACAAATATGGAAAATACGAAAGATGAAATTATATGTATTTCATCTGATGATGATGAAAATATAAAACAGGTTTGTATTTATATTTTGTTATATTAAAGTTAATTATATTATTATTAATCATTATATTTTTTATTAGTTTAAAATATTTATAATTTTATAATTCTTATTGATATCATTTATTTATTTTTTATTATTTATAAACTACAATTAATAAAGAATTTAAAAAGTTATATATCATTATTTTATTATTTTAGGATAAATGTAATGATAAACAAGATTCAATTACTAAAAAATTAGGAAACAATTCTGATTCTCATATAAAAATAGAAGCTTCTTCAAGTAATTATGAAAAACCGAAAGAATGTACATTAAAAAGAAAAATATCTGAAATAAATGATGTTTCTTGTTTTGAAAAAAGCTCAAAAATGTTTATATGTGAAAAAGAAAGCAATGTTAAATTATGTAATATAAAAAAGAAAGAAGAAAAAGAAATAAGAAAAGAAAAGCAAGAAAATAAAACATTATTGAAACCAAAATTGATTGTAAAAGAAAAGAAAATTATTTCTTCTGTGGAGCAGGATGTATTTCCTATGTTTATTAGTTTATGTTTGCAAAGAGATCGTTCTGAAGATATGAAAACTATTGTTAATAAATTAAAAAGACGTTATGAGCAATTAGATCCTAAATATGCTAATTCCAAAGCTTTTATTAATTTTTTAAATGATAAAAGAAATGATATAATGAATAGTGATAGTAAATTGTTTGTATATATAGCTGAAGTAATGAATGAAATGAAAAATAGTTATAAAGGAAAATCATCTTTATTATTAAATAACAAAATTCGTTCTTCTGATGGAAATAAATTAAATAAAAATAATAATTTAAATGTAGTTACTACAGTATGTTCAAATATGTCATATACAATTAATAATGTATTTAATGACAATGAAATTATATCAACTAATACAGATAATGAAGAAAAACAAGAAATGGATCCTGCTATACAAAGGAAAATTAATGTAATATTAAAAACAATGGAAAAATGTGAAGCATATATAAAAAAACTTGAAGAATCAGAAATCAATTTTGATGATGAAAATAATAGTAATTATATCAAACTAGAAAAATATAAGTATCGAATGGTAGAACTTTATAACAAATATTGTGAATATACTGGAGCAAATCCTGATGCAGATCGAACATATCTACAACCAAAGCATTTTGGTACTACAGGAATTGTTGCTGTAGATCATGCTATTACAAGTTTCATTAATTCTAAAATATCAAAAAGAAATAAATTGAAAAAAATTGGTGCTTTTAGAGAAGCAATAATTTTTCCAGATTATACTGATATTTTAAGATGTGTTACAAAATGTAATGAATTGCATAATTTAAATTTAGATTATAAAAGACAGAAAAAAATTGGTAAGTTATTAAAATTTTCTTCAAATTCATATAAATATTTTACATCATATACATTTATTATTATAGCAAAAGATGCATTTGTTGCTTTGGGAAAATATTTGAAACAATGTCGATGCAATGATTATTGGGATACATTTTCCTTATTTCTTGAAAATGAAGAAGATGATCCTGCATTGAAAGATCCAATGTTAGCTGAAAAATTGATACAGAACCAAAGAGAGGGTGAGAAGAAATTATCTAATGTTTTTGATACATATGTAAAAAAGCAAGAAGAAATGAAAAGTGAAGACTCTAAAACATCATTAGAGAATGAAGAGGATGAAGAGAATAGTATAGAAAATGATGATGAAGAAGATAATGATGATGATGATGTTAGTGAAATTGATATAGATTTGGATGTAGATAAGGATAAAACTAGTTCAGAAGAAGATGAAAATAGTACAGATGGAAGTGAAACATTTAAAAATAATACATGTATAAAAATAAAATCTAAGATAGAAAAAGATATCACAAAAATAGAAGAAATATGTCAAACAAATATGAATGATGAATTAAAAAATAATAGTAATGATAATTCAAAATCAAAAATTAATAATATTGAGAATATATCTAATTGTAAATATAATTTTGAATTGAAATCAATAGAAAATAATGCAGCATCATCACCTAATATGGCATCACATTTAAATATTTTACCTAATATAATGTTTTCAACTATAACAAATAATGAAATTTCTATTGATGAAACAAAAGGTTAGTGTACAAATATAATATTGGTGGAAAATTAATCATTAAAAAATAAACAAAAACATTTAGATTTTATATATATATATAATGTGTATATGTTGTAGAGGATGATCCTAATATTATGAATAAAGATCCAATGGATAATAAGTTATTACAAGATAAAGAAGAAGAAACAGAAGAAAAACCATTGTTACGAGTGTGCTCTTTTGCTAAACCTCCAGATACATGGAAAGATATACAAGAAAAAGTAGATGAATATAATGAAAATGAAAATGCATTAACTGTTAAGGATGTAATAGATCTTACACAAGATCTTACACAAGAAAATTCAGCTGTTCATCAATGTTCAACTATTCAAATTGAATCTAAGGTACTTCCTATTGTAAAAGGTAATTACAAAACATTAGTGATACCAGCAGGTAAAAATATAATTAATGTAAAAAATATTACAAACAATTATGTAAGACTGACAAATTCAAATATTATAACTGCATTAAAAAATGATCCAGTCATATCTCCGCAGCAAAATACAAAATCAACAACTATACATTTGTCATCAAATTTATCCACAGATCAGGTAGTAGATATTAATAATCAAATACAAAATTCACAAAATAAACAAGAAAACACAACTGTACAAATTTCTCAATCTAATCAAATTATAATGTTACCTACAAAACAAAAAGAAAGTACCTCTCAATATCCAAAAACGAATTCATCAATTTCACAATCCAAATGACTCATAGAAAAAGTAAAAATAATTCATCGCGACCATTGTTATGCAAAATTAATAAATGATAGATGACCAATGGATTACAGTAAATAAACATACTAATTTTTTTATGGACAATTTGTAATTTATCAACATTATATAAGTATACTAATATATTACACTAGATAAATTTTTTACGAATATTTAAATAAATTTTGTACATTAAATGTTTGTTATAAATTTATTTGATGTTCAATATATAAATTTGTATGTTCAATATGTACGATATTATTTCTATATAAGTTCTTTTCTAATCATAGAAAATATTACGTAATATCAGTTTCGTCAAAATAAATTCCTCGTTTGTAAGATTTTCTACGATATCAAAATGATCGATATTTTCTCTTAATAAAATATATTGAACATTATCTACTATTGTAATAAGTTTCTAAAATAAGAAAAAAAAATTGTAAATTTTTTTTATAATAGATAGAATATTAAAATAATTGAGTAAATTATCACTTATTTAAATAATATGAGTACCTGAGCACACTCGCGTGATTCATTGATAAATACTGGTGAATCACATTCTCCATTGGTTACAATAACTTTTAACCCTTGGATAGAAGGATTATTCTTAGTATTGAGAGTGGTAAAGCTGTATGCGTCGATTTCATTTCTGAAATATATATATACATATATATATTGCGTATTAATATAAATTGAAATATAAATAGTTTATTAAAATATTCAGATACTTACTTTGTAAGTTTTAAAGCTGTATTAGCACTAGTATTGACAAGAGGTTCCAAATTAAAGATACCGCTTATTAACACGATACCTTTTAATAGATATAAGTATCCATGTTTTGTCATTTCATCTAACCATAATTTATCGTATAAAATACTGGATGCTAAATGTGCACCAGCGCTATGGCCAGAGACCCAAACATTCCTATATAAATCCATCCAATTTATAGAAATTTGTAATTTGTATATTAACAAAATTATCATGTAAATATTAATTATATCATACCGACATTTGAGACTCGAAGCAGATTTTAATATATGTGCAATTGCTGTTTTTATCTGCGATATTATATCCCTAAGTTTAACTAAAGTATAAAAAATATGAAAATTATCTAGAATATTTTTAGAATATTGTTTTTAATTTTATATCTAAAGCAAAATTGGAATAAAAGAAAACAAAATTTACCATTAGGACATAAATCGTAACCAATAGTTATAACTTTAATTCCTTTATTAACAAAGACAGGAGCTGCATATGCAGATATATCTTTACTACCTTCTTGCCAATAACCACCATGAATAAATATGAATATAGGAGAGTCTGAAAAAAATATTTAAAATATTGATTTTTAAATTTAACTTAAAATAAAATATCTAAATAAAATTCATTGTTTATATTGTAACAAATCTAAATAGAAAAAAATTCAAATATGAATATATGACGATTAATTATAATGATTAATAGTGATAATAGATTTGGCTTATCAATATTTTAATATTTAAATAAATCATTAAAATTTTTATTTTTATACATACTTACCTTTAGGTAAGTCAGTTCCATAAATATCATATTTAGTTCCTTTTGTTGTTCCATACGGAATATCGAGTTCACATTTTAAAGTTTTACGAGCATTTTCGGTAACTATAATAATAAATTAATTATTATTTATTTCATAAAAAAAATATCAGCTCATTCTATTTTAAATAATTTTATTATTTTTTTTATTTTATTTTACCCTCTTTAGAAAATTTACAATAATTTAACAATATTTGTATTTGATCGAATCTTTTGCTCCATTTACTCGGACTATAAAGTACTTCCTGGTCCTAAAAGCAAAAAAATATAGTTCAAAAATAAAAATTCTCTATCAAATTTGAAATTTGTAATTACCGAAGACATTTTTAATAAAACTTCACTATCACTTCAATAATAATTATTATATTATTTCAATAATAAATATTATATTATATTATATTATTATTTTTCTTTTAATAACAGAATAATAGATGTTCTGTTTATTATTATTTTCACTATTGATAATTAAATTATGTAAGTTATTTTTCGGACTTTAGGTTTTTTTAAGTATTTTTAAATTTTTAATTGCTGAAAATCACAAATTCATTTCTAAATATAATAAATATTTTATTAAATATGTAATAGACATATGTATTCTTCAGAATTACATTGAAAATTTATGGGGAATACGTTCCATTTGTTAGAGATATTGTCAAAGTAATAATTTTTGTTTTATAAAATATAATTTATTCACTTATAATTAACTGTTTTAATTAGAGATGTTAAGGTTAATAAAAAGTTAAATTTTATTTTATGAATTTATGATATTAATTTATAAATATTTTTTAATTCTCACGTTACTATTTTATGCCATTGATACATGCAACGACTAGCCTAACTGTCATAAATAATTTATTCTCTCTAGAGAGAGAAGAGAAACAGGGGTATCATATCTCTATTATTACTCTTATCTCTATTATATCTACTTACGTTGTTACTTTCTGATATTACTGACTGCCATCTTGTCCTGATATCTGGCAACTGTGCAAGTCAATGAGTTTTATAATTTTTATTATTGAATCTATATTACAAGTGAGGTGCAAAATAGACTTAACATTTAATGGAATTTTAAATATGTCTCGTCAAAATATCGGTGTAAAAAATCGGAATGTTTGATTAATGATTTAAAACCCTGAATAGATTCAATTCAACTATAAAAGCTGCTAAAATCAGCAAATTTTAAAAATAATTAATACATTCTTTTATAAATATTCTTATGCATATATGTATTGTTTAAACTATTGATGTTTTTGCAATAAAATATTAATGCAAAATAATTTATATATTCAAATTTTATTTCCAGAAAAATATTTCAAATTTTCTATTTTTTGGTAATAGTTGATATCTTATTATTAAAAAAATATAAATATAAAATCTACATGTAAAAATGTTCTTTATTTGATTTTCATATGAGAGAATATAATTTTTAAATAATTCATATTACTTATATTTAAAAAATTATTAAATACCATTATAAGTTTTTGAATTTTTTTATAATTCAATTAATCATAAATTAAATTAATTATAAATAAAATAAGAAACAATACAATCAGTATCAATCACTATATTTTTTTTTATAATAACATCAATCATATAATACAAAAAAATTTTAAAATGGCTTGATGCATTCTATGTTTCGGTTAAGACAAAAATGAATAAATAGAAAAACCATATTTGGCAGAGAGAGAGAACATAAAAGGATATAAAATATAATATATAATGTATACATACAACACACTTATATATATATATATATATATATATATATATATATACTTACATATCTTATAGCATGCTGTGGTGAAGGTAGCAAGAATAGGCTATGAGGGTCGAAGATATTGAAAACCAGAAAAACCGGTCCTTTCCTTTTGGCCCCACTCTTCCGTAATGCGCCATTCTCCACGGAGAAGTCACAGGTAGGTTCATAGCAGCTGATGTATCGAGTATCGTGCCACGTCGACGCCTACCCACAAACTACAGGTAAGAGAAACCTTTTCCAGTCAAAAATCCCATGGTTCAACGGATATTTTGTTCGAGAGAACTGAATAATCCACAATATATGCAAGCAATGGGATTATCAACGATAGTATAGCACGATCATCGAATTCTATCAATCTCTCAATTGAAATGAAAAGCACCAATTTAATCAAATGATATTTATTCGAAATTTGTACAATCATTTCAAGAACAAAAAAAAATATCTTTCATAAAAGTTTAATTTTAAACAAAAAGATTGTAATAAAAAAAAATTAAAATGATATATAATTCAATATATAAAATGATTTTGTCAATTGAAAATTCTTTGTGAAGCATCATCTTCATATCTACCTTGATAGTCCTTCTCAGTTTACATTGTCTTGCAACCGGTTCTCGTGTGCATACTAGGTTAATTTATTTGACCCACCGACTACGCTCATTTCCAATTAGTTTCCACAGCATTAAGTAAGTATCCTTTATATTACATTGTCTTTGTTGGAATTTAAGATTAGTCCGTAGCTATTAATAATAACGTTATGTGTTTGTAATTTAATATATAGATATTTGAATCATTCTGAACAGAATACAATGTAAAATATATCGTAGAACATTTATTAATATCAAAAGTCATAAATATTCTATACACAAATATACATAGATAAATAATTTTAATTATAATATGGTTATTTAAAAATTTTAGGAAAAAAAAAACT